GAGGGTTGCTTTGCAACTAAGCTGGCGGTTAAAAACACTCTTAAACACTCTTAAATCTACTTGGGAAACATCCAACGTATCACTGCTTATTGGAGTAATTCATCAGAGAAAACTCGAAACGGTTCTATGCCTCTAGTACTGCACAATAATCAAATGCCTGAAGAAAGACGCAAAGAATATGAAAACCTTCTTCGGAGTTTCAAGGATGTTTTTGAAGAGTCATTTCATCAACCTTCTACAAAACTAGTTAACCATCACATCGTTGTGAAGAACGATACTCCAATTCAGAATTCGGCGTTATCAGTACTCTCCACAAAAAAGACGAATTATATGTAAGTTCAGAAAATTTTATCGGCAGGAGTTATCAGAAGGAGATGGTCCAGTTTTTTTTCACCGATAGTCATTGTGGAAAAGAAAGATGGCACACCTAAATTCTGCGTTGATTATCTCGCAATCGCAATTGCATTTCGCAATTGCATACCTCGTTAGTCCCAGCACTGGGACCAAACGCCCCATAAGTCGAAACTTGTGCAGAAAAATCTTATCTCCCACCAATAAGAGAAAATATCAAATAACTTGGTATTTGACGAATTTTCACTTCTCTGGATTCGAAAAGTGGTTACTGGCAGGTGCCGTTATATGTCGAGAGTGTACCTTCAACTGCGTTTTCTACCCCTGATGGCGCCATGTCGTTCGGATTAAAGAATGCACCATCCACTGTTCAAAAGATGATGACGCAAGTACTGGAAGGATACGTTGATAAATTTGTAAAAGTATATCTGAATGATATAATAATATTCTCAGAGACATATGAATGTCATCTCCATCACCTCGCACTCGTTCTGGAATGTCTCCGTTTACATACATGTTCCCTGAAAAAATTAAGAGTTTGGATCTTCTCAAATTGATTATCTGGGCCACTGTATCACCACTGATGCTAACTATCCTCGAGAACAACATATTACAAGATCAAACAGTATCCAGAACCAAAATCAATGAAGGAACTCGCAGTTTTGGGTACGTTAAACTGGCTGAGTGAATATATTCCGAATTTTGCTTCTCTAGTCACCCATTTGACTTATTTAACTGGAAAGAAAATTTTCCATTAGACATCGGAAACAGAGAAGTCATTTGAAGAATTGAAATCAGCTTTGGAACGGACTTTGCTACTCCATAGACCTAATCCAAGGAAGCATTTCGTTTTGCAAACGGACACGTCAGCAGAGTATGGAGGCCGTTCTTTTTTAGGGGGGAGCTCACGGAGAACGTAGAATCATCTCTATTCCAGCGCAAAATTCACGAGGGCTGAGAAGAATTATCATGTGAATGAGCATGAGACTCCCGCAGTTGTATGGGCATGTAACCGGATTCGACCCTATTTCGAAGACCAACCTTTCACTTTTATCACTGACAGCCGCGCACTCACATGGTTAGACAAATATAGAGATGATTAAGCAAAACTCACACTATGGTCGTTACTTTTGCAAGAATTTTGTTTCTCTGTAGGTTTGTTCTCTTTCGAAATATAAACAGTCCAAAACCATCAGGAGCATGTACAGTTTCACAGAACTGTTGGCATTTTTCATGTTCCGTGGAACTGCGCATGCTTCCGATGGTTTGGGACTGTCTATTCATTGAACGAGAAAAACCCTTGAACGAGAAAAACCCTTGCCCTATCCGGGCAGGGAAAATCAATTACCCTGATTTCCTATTCTGTTCTCCTCAACCATCGGTTGAAGAAGAAATAGACAGAAGTGAGTATGACTTAAGACTAACTCCTAGCCCACTTAAAATACAATTGAATAATCTACTGTGGAAGTCCATGTTATCTCAAAGTGAAGTGAAGTAGTTGAAATATAATAAAAACTCTCCAAGTCGTCTCCACAACGTTTAATTTCAAATTCAAGAAGGGGGGACATGTAAAACAAATTGGTACTCACGTGGAGAAGAAAAAAGCAAAAACATGGTCATAATGAGCATGGCTAAATGGTTAATAGAGCATGTTAATAGTTTTAAATGAAAAATGAAATTGAAAATGAAGTGAACAGGTATTATTATTTGAATTGGGGCCCTGTACTCCAGATATTTGCTCAACGACCCCGTACATTTGGAGCAGTAAGCAATTACAGAATGATTGAAAAAAAAATCCGACAGAAACATACCGATAATATTGATAAAAATCATTGATAAACATCAATCGATTCCTCATATGGACATCTCATATCTCAAACATATCAAGTCAAAACCCACAATCGACAGCCGACGTCAAAAACCTCAGCTGTCAGCAGTGAAGCGTGACAAGACCAAGAGTTCTATGATAACCATGACTGAGAACCATGACCAACGTGAAATAATTAGATTATAAAGATGGAAGATAGGGTAACTATGATCAACAATAGAGTTCAGATTTTAGACTTTTTTGGTTTGCTTGAATATTAATGAGCATGTATCCCTAGCCCTACTTAACACTGAAGATGCTCAATAAATAATGCTGTTGTTGAAGCTCAGAGTCAAGATCAAATATTCGGGATACTTAGCAGCAGTGTCTCAATTTCCAACGCCAACTCAATTCAAGAATCAGTAAACAATACCGGACATTTTATAAATTATTCTCAGTCGAAAACCATGTACATTTTCAGAGACATAACCAGAAGAAAACGTTGGTAGTTCCAATTGCTGTACACCCTCGGGTAATATTTGAGTATGTTGTATGTTTCAGAAATTGCTGGTCATCCCGGAAGAGATGAATCCTACAGGGCAATTAACCAAAAATTTCAGTGGAGTGGAATGTGGAATATGATAAGCAAGCATATATAAGTCTTTTTGGTTTGTGTGTCTACAAAGACAGGTGCGAGACAGCCACATGCACCACTAAAACCAAAGCCGCCAACTCAACCATGGCAAACTATCAGTCTTGGTGTCATGGGGTCTTATTCAGTAACCCAAAACGGAAACAAATATCTGATTAGGGCCACGGGTATAGGATCAAAATGGATAGGAATTGCAGCCACATCCGATTGCACTGCAAAAACACTGATTTCGTTTCTACAGAGTGTTTTTGGCCGTTGGAGCTTCTCCGAATTGATCATTACAGATAATGGTCCACAATCCCGCAGTGTTATTTCTCAAGATTTGTTGAGCAAGTTACACATTATTTCATCAAAGAGCCAATCCCGTAGGACGTCGTAACCAGGAACTAAAAAAAGCGTTACTTATACAAGCTATGGCTAGAGGAATATGTAAATGGGATACAAATCTATCTGAAGCTCAGTTTGCTCTGAATAATAGACGAAACCGAGCAACTGGTTTTTCTCTGAGTGTTAGATACAATATTCACATATAAAACGCGTAAGAAGTTCTTCAAAAATTAATTCAGGTCCGTATCGCCACAGTGGAGTCATTGAAAGACAATTATTCACTATACGAGTCCACCTAGCCAATTGTCTATTGATGAATTCTTTCACCGAAGAACGAAACACCTAATGTCTTCAAAAACAACATAACTAAAAACTAGTAAATCACATGAATTATCACTACACACTGTTTTACCACTAACCAAACTGGTAAAACCGTGTGTAGTGTATTATCGTGCCAAAGGTTCCATTCTTCGATATAACGTAAATTATCACTTCACTGAATTCTTGTCAGCAGATACCTACGAGCAAAATGGTTACTAGCCTGATTTCAATATTAAACCAAAGTGATCAATGACCGTTTGAACCCAGGCGAGCAATTCGGATACGATCTTCGGGTTGCTAGGATATGACATCTTGCCTAAGACGAATCACGGTTCGTGCTTCGCTTATATGGACTGCTAGACTAGTTACTACTAAGTAGTAACCGCATAAATACGCCAACTTTCTTTAAAAAGAAAATATTCGCATCCTTTACCAAGGCGGAAGTTGTGACGATGCATGTGCTTGCAATGACAGATTCAAAATTCGGTTGTCATCTAATGACACTTGAATGACACTCGTCAAGTACTGTTTGCTATGAATTTGAGTGAAGTTGAAAGTTTTATGCCGTTTTTTAACTCGAATTATGACTTCCACTGCTGGACCATATAACGGTTAATGGTATCCTCAATCAGAGATGAGTAACTTATAATTGTAAAAACAATTTCAAGCAACCATATAGTGTACCGGTGTACAAAGTGGAATTATTCTATAGACTAGAAGAATGTGAGCCATTCTGGATGATTTTATGAACAACAGGTGGTCTGTGAGTGTTTTCTGTTTTGTGTATATTAGTGACATTTATTCCAAATGTACATACATACCTAGTTGATTTACATTTTCAATAAATACTGCTTCATTCACACAGATCGCTTTCGTTTCACTGTATTCAAATCAGAGATTATTAAATGAATCACCTACACCATGACATGAAATTTGCAATATTCTTTCGAAGATGAGATCATTAATTTCCTCAGTCCTCAGTAAACCGTGTTCTCATTATTGATCCACAATGTCCATAAATTGTTTTTCTTTTCATGTGGGATAATTGCAGCTATTAAATTTTAAAAATTCCGCCTCATCCAACTGTTAAATGCAGACATGCGCAGTAACGACCTAGGTATCTGAGAGATACAAATACATTGCCCTCTTCGTTGAATGTTCGCACATTGTTATTATAGGCAATTAGCAGTGCATTTGAACGATGCGAGAGGCTGAATGGTCTAAATACAATTCTGGCAAAAGGAATATTCTCATGTGAAGACCATTTATTGAAGTGAATAAGCGTAGAAGTTCACGAGTATCTGATAGAGAGCAAAACTAACCAACACTGCCAAGCCTTGCCTTCCATCTACGTATCGCCTACAATGGCAACGTCGCTTACCTCGCTTGCCATTACGTGTATAGCGGCCTAGAATGTACTTATGGTAGTGGCCACGAATTGGCTGTTTGGAACTTTTCAAAGGGATTAAACTGTGCTCATGTTCCCTTAATATCAAAAAGTTATATTTGACTTTACAAATGTGTAACGTGCTGATTTTACAGAAACATGGATATAACGCCACTCACCTTGAACCTGAACAATAGTGCCATTCCAACGATCTCGAATGACTTACAGTCACCTCAGTCCGACCTACCCGACAGTCCTGCCAGTTCTTCTTTATCAGGAAAGGGCCAAAGGGTGGCCTTCTTGTTTGATTCCACTCTAACAGCATTCCTCATGATGGGCAACCTTTCGCCTGGCCTCAAAAAGCATGCGGTCACGATGTTCGAAGTGGGCAAATTGTGCGACGAGAGTTTGGACAGTTTTTTGTCTGAGCTAGAGAAGGTTTCTGTACTCGATGCTGAGGGCGAAGGTAATGATGGAAAGTAGTGTTGACAATAACTTTTTTTTAATAGGTTTGTTCGCGTTCATAGAATCAACAGTCCGAAACCATCAGAAGCATGCGCAGTGAGGAAGATGTGTTTGCGTTTTCTCTGGACTGTTTCGTATGCCACAGATCACGTGTTTTCGTTTTATATGAACTAGAACTGCCCATGACTGTCGTGAAAAATTTTGGATGCGCATGCCTTTATGCTGTTTAGCAACAGATTTTTAACCTCTAAGTGTTCTTATGTGTATCTCCTAACATAGGATCTAGGTTAGGAGATACACTTTTAATCAAGGTGAATAATGGAATTATTGAAAAAATAATCAATATTATGAACAATGTATGGGCATAAGAGCTCCAGCGCATCGTCCTATTTTCAAATTCAGATGATAACAAACGTTTTTGAACATGTTATCTGCTGGAAATCCTCAAGACCAATCTGGAGAATGGTTGTTTTGAATGAATCTGTACTCAGATTACGAATTCAGGGATAATTTTTGGTATAAATAGGTAGAGTACGTGAATATTCCAGTGGGTTCAGGTCTTGTCGGTCTTGAATTTTGGGATTATTTTATCATAACATCAACATAATCAACCCTAACCTAAATATTCCCTCGACACGTGAGAGAAGACATAGCATATTTTCGAGAAAGAAGATGAAGAAACGGAATCGCCGTTTTCGTTTATCTGATTTCAAAACAATCCCAAATTTGTTTAGGATTGAATTTGATGCGCACTTGATTCTGCGCAGTCTAAGGACCGTTTCATAAATTTGGAACATGAACAAACCTATTGATTCCATTGATAATGGTCTTGTTCTAGTGTGAATTGATCAAGACTGACCTCTTGATCTAGTTTTTTATTTGTTCTGAAAACAAAATGGTGAAGACACCTGAACTTGGTCAAACATTGAAACTCGCAAAATTTTTTAAGGTCATTCTGAATGAAAAACTAGTAGGCAAAGTATAATATTGTCTGTTCATTGGCAAAGATGTAAAAAATCGCACTTATCGACGATATTTCTAAGCCAGTGATCTCCATTCGAACTGAGTTATTCATTTGTGTTATCCTAAGCCAAGAAATTTGTCATATTGTTTTCCTGGCTTACTTATCTGTAAAGTTTGTGAACAACATTTTCTATTTGAATTTGAGTAGAAACTGGAAACTCATCAGTGCTATGATGAAACATTACTGTTTGTATTCTATTGAAATAGAAAATAATATGGTAGGTTATTATTTCAACCTAATATTGTCCATATTGACAAATGCAGTAATCCAGTCCCATTGATAAGCAGTTAGTTTGGGTCAGTGAACAGACAATATTCAGAACCTAAAAATGTACTGCAGTTTGTTCAGGACACACCATATGACTATCTCTCTCAATTATAAGCTCATACTAGTTTCTTGGGGTTAGTAAAGGGAAAACAAATAACTACCTGGAGTAAAACATGGTTATGTACCCACAAATCTCATGTTTCAGGTGAAGCCAGAAGATTCTTTGATCATGCGGTCATTCTACGATCAACAGTATTAGCTCTAAGAAAATTGCCGAGTTTAGGTTTAGATTTGGTAAGGCTAGAAAGTTTACATTCCTTGGATGAGCCAACATGTTTGAGATTATTGCAGAAGAAATATAAGTGAGTTCTTTCATAATGGAACTGAAACAGTTTTTTATTTCAATTCCTAATGTTTTGTAGATTGTTGGTTTCAATGGCTCCTCTCAGTAGAGAAGTTCGACCAGTTACCAGTTTATTACCTCCTCATTTGGGACCAGCTGTACCTGAAGTTAACACTCTGTGGTTCAAATTATTTATATATCACATGACTGGCTATGGTCCACCATCATTACTACTAACCAAAGGTAACAAAAGCAAAATGAATATTACAAGTATGTTTGTCTGTGTTTCGGAACTCTTTTTACTCCATGCTTTGGGTATGTCACTCTTCTCGAACCTACTTTTTAGAATTAGGATGAAAACGAATCTGATGAAACTACTCAATACTTGCATACTCACTTGATTTTGCTATTATATATTACCAATATAATCCCAGTATAAGGATTATAACCTCCTTGTCTACAAGTTTAGTGGGAATAGTAAAGTAGTCAGTTAGATAGAGGATAAGCAATGAGAAAGCATCTTCAGTTATTCCGAAAAACCGAAACAAATTTTTTTTCAGAACTCATTACACAAGTCAAAGTTACAAAAGTTCTCAAGTCAGATTTCTGCGTAGCATTTATACGTATGTATTGGATTTGCATTCTCAATATTGAATAATTCATCTGTATTGAAAATTCGTATGATTTACGATACTAGACAGGGAACCATTCTCTAAACCTCAAGGGCTGATAATTCCACCATATTTTGTATCACTACTAGCTTCAGACCGTACCATCATTAATCATTATTTCAACTTGAGAAGTCAATTTTCTCTATCAATGGCAATAACAAATTGTTTACTTCTACTACTCACCTCAGACAAATTACAATGTTGATTTGAATTTTGAGGTTTTAAGTAAATGGAGTATATTTTATCCACTTCCTGTCTGAACCTAAGTTCGTTAGTGTTTGGTTCAATTTATTTGTGTGTGATTTTGGTGTTCTATTTTGCACTCGACAGAAAAATTGATCTTGTCAGGAAATATCTAGGGTTAGGACAACAAATGAGTAACTTAGTTCGAAATAGAGGTCACTGGCTTACTGAAAATATCGTCGATAAGGGCTATTTTTACATTTCTTAGGTTTTTATTTAGAACGACAATGTAGTAGTGATAAAAGCATTTGTCATCAACTATAATTCCTGAAATGCTCTGAATCTGATTCTTATTTAAAATATCACTAATTTCACAGCACAAAAAAATTAAGTTGTTAGATTAAAATCCATTATATTGAGAAAATATGTGTTAGTAGTGAAAAAAAAACAATATATAAGTGAACCATATCATGGAAGATAATTATCTCCTCGGTTGTATATTTCCTTAGATGCTGAGGTATCTCGGAAACTAATACAAATCAGCTTTAAAAATGTATCCTGCACCCCTGACCGCATAAATATAATTTTAATAATACATGCATAATAGTTATTTGCGTGTGAATGGAATTAACAAAGATCTTCGCACATGTTGTTATCCTCTTTCAGAGTAGAATATAGAGCAGCAATTTATAACATGACGTTTGTTGACATAAATCACGACATCATTCTCGAACGCAACGGGTTAAACGATTGCATACGGATGAGTTCGTATGTCGGAAAGCATTCGAGTCGGCCATTGCAGAGGCGTGCAGTACTGGAATACTTGCATTTTAACTCCGTTCCTAAGATGTAACGCCACTGCTTCACTAAAACATCTGACCTTGAATTGATTTGATTCAATTCTTGACGTTGTGACGCACGTGCAAAGAAATATTAAACAGACTATATCATATTTTTTTACAGGAACAACTATGAAAGAATTACCCAGAATGTTCTTGGGTTTCACTCATGTAGTGGTGACATCTTGGCTATGCGAACCCGCAGTCATACCGATCTCCAATATTCTCTACGTGAATGCGACCCTCCAGTTCTCCCTGGTGTCGATCTAATACAGCTCAGCTTAAAAACTGTCTCTTGTACCTGGGAATGCATAATTACTATTTTTCACAGGAACAACTCTGAAACAGTTACCCAGAATGTTCTTGGGCTTCACTCGTGTAGTCGTGATGTCTTGACTACACGAACCAGCAGTCATATCGATCTCCAACATTCCCCATGTGAATGCGACTCTCCAATTCTTCCGGTGTTGATCTAATACAGCTCAGCATAAAAAATGCCTCTTGTACCTCGGACTGCATAATTACTATTTTTCACAGGAACAACTCTGAAACAGTTACCCAGAATGTTCTTGGGCTTCACTCGTGTGGTCGTGACGTCTTGGCTACACGAACCAGCAGTAATACCGATCTCCAACATTCTCTATGTGAATGCGACCCTCCAATTCTCCCGGTGTTGATCTAATACAGCTCAGCTTGAAAAATGCCTCTTGTACCTCGGACTGCATAATTACGATTTTTCACAGGAACAACTCTGAAACAGTTATCCAGAATGTTCCTGGGCTTCACTCGTGTAGTCGTGACGTCTTGGCTGCACGAAACAGCAGTCAGCCAACATTCCCTATGTGAATGCGACTCTCCAATTCTCCCTGGTGCTGATCTAATACAGCTCAGCTTGAAAATTGTCTCTTGTACCTCGGACTGCATAATTACTATTTTTCACAGGAACAACTCTGAAACAGTTACCCAGAATGTTCTTGGGCTTCACTCGTGTAGTCGTGACGTCTTGGCTACACGAACCAGCAGTCATACCGATCTCCAACATTCCCTATGTGAATGCGACTCTCCAATTCTCCCTGGTGCTGATCTAATACAGCTCAGCTCAAAAACTGTCTCTTTTACCTCTGACTGCATAATTACTATTTTTCACAGGAACAACTCTGAAACAGTTACCCAGAATGTTCTTGGGCTTCACTCGTGTGGTCGTGACGTCTTGGCTACACGAACCAGCAGTCATACCGATCTCCAACATTCTCTACGTGAATGCGACCCTCCAGTTCTCCCCGGTGCTGATCCAAGCGTACGGCGTGCACCAGCCTGCCCAAACCTACATACTGCCCTTCCCGTTCCAACCCGTCACGCCGACCAAGATCAAAGATGAGTCGACCTCCGACTCGATGTTCAGGAACCACAAGGCCGTCAAGTGCCTCGCCGAGGTGGTGGATTTGGAGCACAATTGCGGGTACCTGACTTTTGCTAACATTGGTGTTCTGGATTTCGGGTGTCCAAATAGGGAGATGGTGGTGAGGCTATCCAGAAACAGCAGAAGTTCAACTCAAGGTGAATATAATAGTTATTTTTCCTAACGTGTGTGGGTGTTTCGGTCAACGACAGTCGCTTACGTAAATGCCACATTTTGAAGAGTGTACCAAAAATGATAATAACCGAAACCCTACATAAGCACCGTATATGTAAGAAGGGGCAATGCTTTTTTTTTATCGCTGTGTGCATCTATTCATTATAACGCCGCGTATTTCACCGACTCCGATATTAATATTTTGTCAGCGAATCAGCACAGCCGATTAGCGGCCGGTCTGTTAGATCCACTGAACTCATAACCTTCATATCTTACGACTAGAATGCGTATCCATTATAGCGGACGAACAAATCATGCATCAGTTTCGACACTGTAAGTGAACCATTAACAGTAGCGGCGTTTAAATTTTTGGTGAAATTCAAATGGACGCCAGTGGCGTATATCGAAGATGAGACGAAAGTATACGGAATTTTCGGAAAATCAAAAGATGACTATAGAATTCCAATGGAAAATTTGGGTTATATAAGTAAATATATGCTACTCATTTTTGTGCACTCTACATGTCTGATCTTAATTTTGAGAAAGGAATTCACTGGGCAAATTTAATATGGAATATATTTAAAATGAAGTAATTTCTCATTTAATTCACATTTTATACTATATACAATTGTCATAGATCATGGTTTGAATAAGTACGGCATTGCACTGTATCAAATCACTGAGTTCGTTTCAAAAGACTTCTTCCACTTCAAATAGAGAGTGAAAGGCTGTATGCCAATATAAACTTATGTAAAATTTGTCATTCAACTGTTTCCAGAATTCACATTTCAATAACCCTCATTTTCATGCAGAGAACTATAAGGTATCTCATTGAAGGTACCACAAATCACTCATAGAGAACATACAATAATTACACCCCAAATCGAATGGTCTTTTCCTAAGACTGCTCTCATCAAGTTTCTCGAAGAGCTTTCAGAATCTATTCCTGATGGATCAAAAACAATCAATTTATCATGTGAAGACAATGTTATTACATCATCTGGAAATTCTGGGACAATGTTTTCATCAGCTTCAACTGAAAGCGAGAATCAAGATATAATGTCGGTTTTAAGTTAGGCATCAAATCTCACCATGAATTTGGTCTTAAGAAAACCATCCTCCATAAAATGAATTGAACAGATGGTCAGATGATAGCCATTCCAACTGAAAGCGAGAATCAATTTATAATGTCAATTTTGAGTTAGGCATCAAATGCCACAATGAATTTGGTCATGAGAAAACCATCCTCCGTAAAATGAATTGAACAGATGGTCAGATGATAGCCATTCCAAGTTTGACTGTATCTCAACATTCTTTGTAATCGGATTCAAGAAACCTCGACTACATCTTATGTGATAAGTACAGGTAAGCATCAGAAGTATTTTAGATAGGTACCTACTTACATAACTTTTTACTTCGCCCTCATGTTCAACATGGAGTTATGCAGTCTTGAACATATCACTTCATCATGTATAATATCAATATTACCAAAGATCTAATATTTTTGAACTTTCGGAAATAAATTCAAACCGGTGAAAATGCATGACCTACGTCTCAGTAGTTTCTCTCCTTTATTACCATACAGCCATAAGTCTGAGATTGGTATAATTTGGTATAATTTGATCCATATTTCAATGTCGTTGTTCAGAAATTTGGTATGAAACCATAGGATCGCGCGTTCTAGTCGTAGGATATAAAGATTAGGAGTTCTTTGGTTAAATCGGAGCTTTGCAAATTTCACACAAGCGGTGACTTATCTCGTGAATTTATTATCTTGGAGTACCTATATTTATGTTTAGAACAATCTTGATTTCTATAACACTTTTCGCTAGAATGAATATGTTTCGAGAACGTACAGAGTAGAGAAATATCTTGGTACGACTGTCATTAAAAAATGTTCCACCACTTGCATAAGAACCTCTTAGCAACTAGTGGAAAATACTGATTTATCCTGATTATTTCTTCTGCGGTAAATAGATCTACTTCAGTAAATAAACATCTAATAAGGGGGTGGAGAGAGTATGGAACTGGACAAAATTTTTGACTTCAGAGATTTGTTTAGAGCAGTAAGAAAGTGAAAATTCCAAAAGTATCCGGAACCAAGTACAGAGGGCGACGTAGACGGTCCTTTTTTATTAAAAGTTGAAAGCTTTTATTTAACTTGCATTGTATGGATGTATGTTAGTTCGGGTGGAATCTTTGAAGTAGATATCTTCAACCGATTGAGCTGAAATTCTGTATACACGTTTAGTTTGGATGACAATGCACAATAAGGTGTGTGAAGTTATTCTAAATCCAACATGGCGGGCCATCCAAGATGGCGGAATAGTTATTTTCAATGCACTTCTACAATATGGGTATCAAATGAAAGGGCTCGTTTGAAGCAACTCGAAAAATTAGGTGATGTTATTCTGAATCCGCTTACTTACTTACTTACTTACTTACTTACTTACTTACTTACTTACTTACTTACTTACTTACTTACTTACTTACTTACTTACTTACTTACTTACTTACTTACTTACTTACCTGCTTACTTACTTACTTACTTATTTACTTACTATCTTACTTACTTTTTATTCATCCTTCAAAAAACATTTTTACATGATATTGGATAAGTCAATTTTAGGAAGCTATAGTTACAAGTTCACTTTCTAATCAATTACACAAAAAAGAACAGAACAAGACAGCCTAAAAATATAAATAAATCATAATTTGGATTTCAAGTTGAAAATTTGACAATTTAAAAAAAACAGCACAGGTTTAAAAAAATCTAATTTTCTTCTTGACATTTTTTTATGTGTTCGTCTAGGGAATAAAACGAATCGTCAGTCAGATATTTTTTCAGATTATTTTTGAATTTTATAGCATCTTTGGTGTCTTTTATCTTTTCTGGAAGGGCATTGAATAATTGGCCTCCGGCATAAATTGGTGACTCTCTATACTGAAACGTATATGTAAGTAGTTTGTATATAAATATATATATATTTATGCAAGTTACTGTTGATAACTGATTATTTTTGACGGTTGTATAATAACTTGTTTGAGTCAAAATGAATACCTTTGATATATATACTCATGATATTGAGGAAACTAAGATGGGAACATATTTTTTTGAATTCAGCTACTTATACATAAACTATCTCTCATTAATTTTTGCTCATAGCTTTGATATGATATATCATCGAATTTATGTCACAGCCAACTTTGTCTTTTTGAATAAAAAGCAATTCAACAGCGAATCAAGGAACAAATGCGTCTTTGTGATACATGGTTGAATAGAGAATTTGAAGACAAATGAGATATACTGGAAAAAATACATGGTGACATTTGAAAAAAAAATGGGGTCACTGCCGGTCAAACAGGTGTTTGCAAAAAATTGTCGTGAAGTTCATAAAGAGCGCTACTATAGATTATGTAGCTCTAGTGCATTCAAAAATTGTATCTCTTCAAATAAAAAACTACAGGTGTCACCCGGTATATTTGGGTCAGGTTTGGTAGATATTGAATCGACCTCTCATTTGAAGGTCAGTATAATTATAGTTGAAATTTCTTAAATAAGTTGGATTGTCTACTTTTATTTGTGTACTAATTCATAAAATATGTTTTCTCTGCTGATTAACTGAAGTGCATTGAAATCGGCTAATGAAAGTAATATCTCTGCTAGGATGTTTTCACATTCCCAAAATTCAATAAACTCTTCAAGCCCCCTAAAACACCTCCAAATTATCTTGTCTCCTCTGGTACTTTTGAAGTAAGTATGGTTATTTTGATTTTTGGGTCGTAGCAGTTTCTAATATCATTTCAAACAAATGTTCAACAAATGGAGGAAAACAACAATTTCTTGGGTTGAAAATTTGACGATGATATGGTGTTTCAGACTAGTAATGAATAAAATTACTTTTATCCTCAGGGTCTACGAAAATTTCCAAGGACAAGACGGGACCTAAAATTCAAACTGAACCCAGCTCTATAACAAATGAAAACTTCAGTTTCACCCCAGAAAAGAATGCGCCAACACCAAACCATTCGAACATTCTGGATGAAAAAGAAAATGTTGATAAACTCCAATCTCCTGTCGAAAGTCATTTTGCACTGACACCCTCGTCTAACAGCCATTCTTCTTCCCCTGCAAATGGTTTTACTAGTCAAGAGGGAACAAATCTACTTCAGGAAGAGTTGGATCAACTAGAGATCCAGGAAGAGACCAATCAAAATATAGGGTTTCAGTTAGAGTTGAATTTGAAAAATAGCATTTCGATTGATGGTTTGACAAGTCCTTTAGAGGAAAACATAAATATGTTTACTAGAGATGACGATAAAGAAGTAAGAAATGACGAGAAAATGGTGGAAAATTTGAATGAAGGATACAATACAGAAAAGGATTGTGAATCCGAGGTAAGAAAAATAATTGTTGAATGATACTAACCTCAAATATCTTGGTCCAATTTTATAGAAAATGTTGAAAGACATGAAAATTCGGAGTATGTACAATTTTACATAATATGGTAGAAAACATTTATGTTTTTTGAGTTTTATTTCAAATGAGTTCAGAAAAAATATTTTGAACGAGATTGTATGATATGAGTACGTGTTTGATGGTATCGGACACATATCCTCTTTGAAAATATCCATCAGGAAAAAACCTCCAGGAAAAAATGTCTATGGAAAACATTTGTGGAAAAATTACTCTCTGGAGAAAGTTCCTCATAAAAATTGATCTCCAGAAAAATGTTTCTCGTAAATAGCTATTCACAAAGCAGGTTAGGTAACGTATGGTGAATAAAAATTGCTCCTGGAAGATATTCCTTGAAGATTTAATTCTCTATACAGATTCTGGGAGGTGAATATATCATGAAAATACCCAAAAAAAATTCCAAATATAATAAAAAATCAGCAAATACAAATGTTTCAATTTAATTAAGAAGTTCAGTCCCTTCTTATGACATATAATTTCAAATTATGTGCTATCCCTCTCAAGGAAGTGATCGCAGTTTCATGACAATTATCTGTTATCCTTTTCAGTTATCATCCAAATCTTTATCGTGATGCAGGAGGAGCACCAGCAGTATTTTGTTCTATATAAGTGTTTGTCACTGTTTGTTCATATTTCAAAATATCAATAAACTTCCACGCAACAAAATGGGACCCTTGTGCTCTAACCCGTAAACAATTGTGCCATCCCTCAACAGGCTTATTTGTGCAAGGTTTTGTTCAGAGTATTTGTTTACTCGCTCCATGTTCCTTCAAAATATTTCAGAAAGGATGAGAACATATCTTTGTGGTCAGTGTAGAACTTGGACGATTTCAGTTCAGAGTTTCGAATGAACCACCAACAGCATCCATAGGAATGAAAGCAAGAGCACACAACATACGTACAGTTGTATTAACCCATTAGTGCATAATGTGTCTTATAATGGACGCTCCTTGTCTAATTTTTTGTGACGTCAATCATGCAGGAATTGAATGTTTCATGCGCCAGAACTATAAGTGTAGTTCAACAACAAACAGCTATCGCTTCTATTTCATGAATTTGTATCTCGACAATATTCTGCACGTGATCAAATGGATAACAATTTGTATTGCACCCGACAAGGAGGGTAAGTATTTATTATAACGGAGTATAATGAATTTCAGAATTTCCTATCCCTCAAGATCTCATTATATGCATGTGTTTATGAACCTATAAGGTAATTCGAATAATTATTTTTTTGTAAGACACTCAAAATATTGCTTTTGTGTTGTGTCCATTATAATGGACTCTATGCATATCGGTCATCAAGATTTTTTTGTAGATCATTCTTGCAACACCTGTTAGACATATGGAAAATGGCTCAGATATCGATCAACCAACAGATGATCATATATTATATTGCCTCCAGAAGAAAAGTTGGCAGAAATGCAGTTATTCGAATTTAGAAACTGCGAATCCATAATAAATCATATTTCTAAAGGAATTATCAAACAGCCGTGCGACTTTCGTTATTCTGATCCTGATTTTGATGAAATTGAAAATAATATACATCTTTGCATTATGAAAAGGAATATTATGGCATCAAATGATTGTACGTTTTAATGCAGCACGTCAACTATAGACACGACTTCATCCACTCGTTCGACTCCTCTTTTTCTTCAACGGGTTCACATTTCCTTCCACTGGATCGTGTGAGGAGCACCGAAAGAAGGTCTGGAAGTATCATCCTAAATAGTTTCTTGATATGGTGCATTTCCATATTTTCAGTAGAGTATACAAAATTGCAATTTTATATGTAAAATAGGACTGCATCTGAGAGATGCTTCAAAATGTATCAAGTCATCATGATGTATAATTTTCATTATTATTATCATTATTATTATTATTGATAATATTGTGATTGATGTTATTGAGTTTTTCATGTTCTGGATATGTACTTGAATAAAAATGAATACTGGAATTCCCTACTGATCACTTTCATCAATGAACCAATTTGCATAGAGTCCATTAAAATGGACGTGTCATATAAAAAAAATATGTTGTAAAAAAAAATTATTCGTCATGAGTTATCATTCTTTGGGTATATTTGAATGAGTAAACATCTTCAGAATATAGAGATTTGAAAAAAAGTAACTTCATGCACTAATGGGTTAAAAAAGCGTACAAGTATGAAAAAGAGATGTCAACGTCATCCTAGTTCTAGTTGTGTACAAATTTTGTATTATTGACAACCTATGACAACTGTCAACATTTGGTAAACAATCATTCCCGATAGCCCGTTTTACGCAAATAGTATGACTTTAATTTCTCTCTCTAATACTTGTACGCTTTTACAATAACTGTTTGTACAGGGTGATTGTTTATATTTTACTCAATAGCTATCTCAGTTAATTATTGGTCCTACAGAAACGTTCAACTGGGCAAAAGTGAAGTATTCTTTATGGTAATTCAGAATCTAGTACTAGAAAACGCAAAAAGCATCGTTGTCCTAAAAATGTCACATGAACTGGTATTTTTTAAATGGAACACCCTATATTTTATTCCTCTAAAAGGTAGAATTATTTCTTCTGATTTCAAATATGTATACTTTATTGAGGATATATTCGTCAGTTTTCGATAAATATGGATTCTAAGTCAGCTGTAGAACTCTAGAAATGGCGTTCAACATCTGCCTTAGATCTATACAAAAAAAAACGATATTTCTTCCAAAAACTGACAAGAGATAACCTCAATAAACCATATATATTTGAGATCAGAAGAAAGAGCTCTACCGTTAAAAAAATACAGGGTGTTCCATTTAAAAAATACGAGTTCCTGTTCAATTTTTAGGTTTACGATGCTTTTTTGTATTTTGTAGTACTAGCTTCTAAATGCTGGGTGGTTTTTCATGGGTACTCTTGACAGAAGTTGACTTTGACACAATACCTTCAAAGTTATTTGGGTTTGACAAAAGTGTAATTTTTAAACATTTTTTTTTTTTCAAGCAGCATAACTGAGATATTGGCTTGGCTGTATGAATAGATCTGGGATACCCGATATATTGGCACTGTATACTTCCACATAAAAATTATTGTTATGTGAGATTTTTCATTTTCTTCCACCATTTCAGCTAGGATGTTATTTCCAGCTGATATTTACCGAGGATTTTTGTTCCAGGACTATTTTTCATGAGAGATGTTTTCCAAGGGTTATTTTTCCATGAGGTTTTTCTTTGATGATTTTTATATTGGAGATACGTTCCTAGATTCTGTTTTATTTGATAGGAACTCAACAATTAACAATATCAATAGAAGGCGAACTATCTTTCATTGGAGTGATGATAAGGCATGGTGCTATCAATCCACCATAATATACCTTGATAAGTGATAACTTCAAAGGAGGACATATTTTGTATTCCTAAAACTTAAGTTTTAAAATTCATAAATAATCATGTTAAGACTGGAAGTCAAATAATAAAAGGAACGAGTGGAGTGGCTCACCCCTATATACCTTCTAAATGGTACAAATCGGATGATATTGCATTATAAACGAACAACATTGGATTTTTTGACAAATGCCAATTTCGAGTTATCCAAAAACGATAACAATGTTGAATTTTCGAATTGGTAATTTGATAGGTTGCAATTATACGCCAGGTGTCACTTTTTTAATATCTAAAACTATGTTTCTCTAATAGGTGTGGACCTTGTTGGATTGTCATTTTGGAATACCACTTTTTGATGTGAACGCAAATACAAAAATCTGTGATACCATTGTATATGGAGGGTTGTCAGAACCCAACAGGTAAATAGAAAACCCAACAATATTTAGTTATAGATTCATTTTACTTGATTTTTTTGGATTTTCTCTCCTCGTTTCTATAAAATAAAAATATGCGTATTATTTCAATATATATGTAGTTATAGATATTATGCATATTTATTAGGTGAATTTTTCTTAATGAGAAAATGATCATTTCCGTTAGTTTACATGATCATGGACAAGTTTTTAACTCATATGATCATGCTTTCATAAAAAAATAATATAATATGCTTACATGTATTTGTTATTTTTTAAAATGAATAAATGAACTATGTAGTGAGTGAATTCAGAAAATTGGTTGAAAACAGGGTTGGAATAAGTCATGACTATTATGAAAAAGTCAAAAAAGTACGACTTTTTGAATTAATTCGGAGTTTTTTGAATTAATTCATTTGAGAACAAATCAAATTCTATTTACTTGAACAAAATACAAGAACACCGAAAAGTTTTTATTTCCGTTAAAAATCTCAAAGCATAACAATAAAATACTTAAAATATGCAATTTTTGCAATACAAACTGAGACTATTGATTGAATGAAAAATGATGTTTATGCAACTTATATTACTCATTCGCAATCTCCATTATGAAGGCGCTTTACAGTTATTTAAAAAAAAATGCACCTATTTCCATGGCGCGCCTACGGATTAGTATCACCTTGTAAAGCAATTTTTCGTTGCATTGCAAGAAATGAGTCCGGTAATTTGTATTACTGGTGCAATTCTAGTGGTGACATGTTAGATTTTCGGAATTTCATGCATTATTAGATGCACATTGGATTTTACTTTTCTTGCCTTTCTCATGGTTTCTTCTTCCCAACTCTTTACCCAACTCAAAACTCGGTGAGAAGTAATACACAGAATCTATGACAAAAATACATTGCAAGCCGGTAATTCCGATTCAGTGTTGAATAGCCTTCATATAATTTTTGCCGGAAATATGAATTGGAGCAATCAATTGCATGCAACGAAATATTGTAAACTGTAAAGCGGCTCTTAGAAAATTTAGTTTTCTGCGTGTGGGTGCTTCCCGGCTGTCAGTTGTCAGATGCCATCGGTTATTCAATTTTCAACTAGTTTGAATCGAAGGTAATAATGAGATTTGTTCTCATTTGATCAATATTGAATTAATTCACGGCTTATTTGAAAAAAGTCATTTGAATTAATTCACGAATTAAATCACTGATTTAATTCATATGAATTAATTCGTGCCAGCCCTGGTTGAAAATATTTCCAAGAGCTCATTCAATTCAAGCAGTAAATATATCATATACCTGGTGGTCTATTATTATTGTCTCCTGATATTCTTGGGCCGATAGTACATTTACATACAATTTTACTACCTTTTATTAACTCATTTCCAAAAGTGTCTATGAGGGAGAGACGGGCAAAGGAGAATAATGAATATTAGTTTTTCTGACAGTCCTGAAGTTTCGAATGTATTCTTCTAACTTATTTCATTTATTTGTTTATCTATTGAAAATATAACTTCTTGTCAAAAACAAGTTCTGGTATAGGAAAGACTTTTACAATAATAATATAATTTAAGAAATGTTCAAGAATAATTGCGATAAAGGTTATCTAAACACCCATCAACATATCATCAATCAAACCCTCCTTTCTGCTCAATGGGTATTTACGGTATCGTTTTCTGAACTCATACAAAATATCTTGTGAGAAAATAATGTTCAAATAACTAGCAATAAAAAAGTCTTGCCTTTTCATTTGGATAGCCCATGCTGTCCTCGAAAAATGTATGTTTTCAAGTCAACGGCAATTGCTCGTTTTCAATTGACTCTTTCACATATGAGGAAGGCTTCCCAATACCAGTTAAACAGATGATTATTGAATATACTTTGTGATACTGATATTTTTCGTCTCACTCCTCCTTAAGAGGGGGAGATCTGCCTTAGTAACCATTATCGGTAATACGTGATAAATAATAGGCTGTCTTTGTCTTTGGATGTACTATCAGCCACAGAAAAATCGGGAGATAATTTTGGACTACCGTGTATAAAATATTTGTTATTTGATTTATACATATTTTTTAGCCTTGAAGCTTTGGTGGAATCTAGTCGAAAACTGGGGTCTGTTCTACTGGATTTCATATCACAATGCCAGGTGAGTTAAGGTACCTCATCTCATACAATTCCAAAATTTAAACTATATTTTTTCATCCAGTATTATCCTGGTGAAAATATGGAGATCCTCAAGAGGGGAAGATTGGTTCCGCTTCCTAAACATAGTCTCATGTTCGACAATGGTCGGGTAAGCAAATGGTCCGGTAAATGAGCATTATCAGAAACGAATTAAAATATGTGTTTAGTTCATTGCAATACGTAGTGATAAGAAAATGATTGTTTCAATTAGTTATACATTCCTATTTTAACTTTTACTATATTTCTATATCTGTTTTTAGAAATAAGTAATATCTAGAATCTAGCATATTTACTGTGAGTGATATAGTCGATAAGGTATATTAACTAAAGGCAGGGGCCAACTATTGTGGGACACATCTCTACAAAGATGCTTATTTTACTGAATTTCAAGTAATTATATGACAGTCATCCCTGACTAACTTGTCTCTAGGCAATCTTGACAACTACTTCTCATTTCCCATTTTGGAGTGATTCTTTGACAACATTATCTTTACCGAGTGACCATGGAATATATGAAAATCAACAGTATCTTGGTGATTTCAAGAGCATGTTTCTTCTCTCTATAACCGCTGAGAGTCAATATCATGATGGAAAAGTCATGGTGCAGCAACTCCTATTCAAAGTCATATGCGAATTTTTATCAGAGTATGTTCCTTCTAATGTTACAATAGATGATTGTATAAATAATGAGACAACCAATTCGAAGGCATGGAAACGAAAATAGTATCATAAACAAAATATAAAAAATTCGAACGAAATAAAAAATATCTACTAATGAACAGGTACAAATCGACAAGTGAGGTTAATCCATAGGTATCTATAACATCACAAGTACTTACACATTTGAATATTTTGCAGTTATTCTTCAAAGTATTTTTATAAATGCCATTATCTATGAATTATGGCGAAAATTAAGAAAAATATAACACACCCATCATACACGGTGTTTCTGAAATTGAAAATATAAATATAGTGTTGTATGAAACATAACACAATTAATCGCAAAAAAATTAAATTCAAAAGTGTTTCTGACATCGACGAAAGCAAACGCTCGATTTTGGCTATTGACCTCCTATCAATGATTGTCTATTTGTATTTTCGTCTTCAATTATTCACCTCTTGTCACTCCAATTTCAGAACCACATTGTATGTTCATTTCTTCTGAATCATGAAATAACGGTAGACGTGATTTATTGTGGAATAATAACTATAACGACAACATAATGAAATATTAAGTTTATCAGGTAAGGATATAAATAAACAGTTTAGAAAGAACAGTTTTCTGCCATAGCCGTAGTCTTCGAATTTCAAAATCCATTCAAAAGCCTGAGAGAACTTAAGGTCAATCACCATGTATTACAAAAATCAACAGATCATGCCTACTGATAGTTGAACTCTGAAACAACGACAGTCATATTATATCATATGGATTCCTTATTCTCAACCTTGTCAAAAATGAAGAAAAGATACATTTGTGAATGCTAAAAAATGCTTGTATGTGAATTCTACTGTGAGGTAAAAGTGCCACTCTTACAAATTAATTTTTCCTAATTATTCTTATATATTGCTGAAAGGAATAATATCTAACATCACATATTATGTCACTATTCTTAGATGATCTTGGTTTTACTCTCATTAGAACTTGATTATCAACATTCGATATTTCGAAATTTTCCATATATTTACAGGGTGATTCAAACTTCCGCCTTGGGCAATAGCGGAAATAACTTTCTTTAAGAGCTCTGAGACTCTGAAGTTGTTATTTTTCGATAAATCTCAAGTGATCCGGCCGGGTTTCAATTTTAATTGCTTTTAATATGAATGCAAAATGTATCCCAATTCATATTCATTACAAAACAAGTTGTTTCCCGGCCGACTTGATTTCTAACTTTAGAGAGTCCCATAGCTATCAACGAAATAAAGGGTAAAACATTTTGAATGAAAGTTGGTTAAAAAATGAACACATTCTTTCAGAATAAGAGAAAAAATTGTAACTTTGTGGATAAAATAATTCGTCTGACGTCATGTCCGCTATTTTGAATAAGGTTGACAATTGTTTAAATGCGAAAAAATATACCTTGCACACAGCTATTCAAATTCACTTTGCCAAATTTGCAGTTTTCCTTTTCCTGTTATTAGCCCAAGGCGGGAAGTTTGAATGACCCTGTACATACAGACTATGTTATTTCTTCAAAAATTAAGTGCCTGTGACATTGAGATTGACGCATACATCTAAACTGAACTGTTTTCTGATTTCATTTTTTAGTATTTATAGTTGCACAAAAAATTTTAGGGGTATTTCACATCGTATGTAAACAAATTTCAAAGTGCATGTTTTTGATTGGTTGGACTATCTGTGTTGATAGTCGAAGACACTCTTTTTTTATATATCGGCTGTTGGTTAGATACTGGATACTTATTTCGCTTCGTCATTGGTAGTCTTATGAGTATTGGAACAAAATAACTTGTCAGCAGCAAGCTGACATGTCATTTCATATTACATTTAGGAATCTGTTATTCTTGAATATGAGAATAAAATGTCAACCCAGCAAACACAGTTACATCACAGAGATATCGAAGCGATGTAACAATTGTGACTTGTGATATCGCATTCTATGTCGCATGAACGTCGCTGCGATGTCAGAAGGATGTTATTTTGTCCAAAAATTATTTGGTGTGTGTCGGCGGGATGTAAGCAAACCAAGAATAGTTTGATAGCATTGTAACGAATATTTGCGAATTCAGCTTCACTTTGTTGAGTAACGTTTATTCACGTATTCTTTTTCACCGGCCAAGAATATAAATAACAAATTTTTGAAAAATTCTTGCATATGAGTTTGCTTCTGTACAATTCGTGATAACGCATTGTTGCCCCATCATGCCGTCTTAGAGATGTCATGTCGCAGATGTGTTTGCTTCGTAATATCGCATTGTTGCCTCATCGCCACATCTCAGAGATATCAGGTCGCAGATGTGTTTGCTTCTGAACATCGCAGCGATGGAACGTTTGTGATATCGCACTGTTACTTGAACGTGACATCTCAGAGATGTCATGTCACAGATGTGTTGGCTGGGAACATTACAATTTAGCCAAAACCCGTGGTAGGAACTCACTATTGATTTGTATTGTAGAATTTCAGAACATATTAGTATGATCGGTATTTCAAAGAATTACTTATATATGATCTCATAAACTCATATACATAATCAAAATTTCAACAATGCACTACACGTCATTTTGGCAATTCTAAATCCTTTGGTGTATTTAAGTTGCATAACACACGCGAAAACTGCAATGTGAAATAAATGAAAAACGATGTTAAAATATAGTTTTATCCTCAAAATAATCTAGACAAATACAACTCGTTTCATTGATGATAATCGAAAATTCTTACTCTTTTTCGAAACAAATTATGTTGCTTGGAAATCATACTAGTTTGTAGATTTCAAATAGAATGATTTTTGAATTAACAAAGGCACACAGAAATTTCCTTCACATCATCATCATCTTTATTATTCCCAAGAAACAATTGACGTATATGTAAGTGGTGTTATTGTGTTTCGATGGAAGTAGAGTAAAACCAGGGTAAGATCCTCTTGATGAAACTGAAAGCATGCTTTGAGTAAACTGAGTGGAAGCGGTACGCTTAGGCCAAGGATGCAATGTTAACTATAAGGCAGCGCGGTGACGTCAACTTGAGTGTGTGAATATACAGGGTGTTTCAGATTTAAATGTACATACGATACCTGTAGATAGAGGACACTTCGGTGGTTCCAAATCACCCCCCATCGATATGTCTACCGTCTTTTATAACTGAGATACAGGACGTTATCTTGATTTTGGCAAAATCTTCATCTGGTTATAACTTTTGAACCACTTTGTATAATTTATACATACTTGGTAGAAATATTCCACTTATATTACCCATCAAAACCATATAAAAATCCGGATCAGAATCCAGGTCCGTCTTGAGGAAAAACAGAAAACTTCTTTTATCTCAAAAACAACACCTTGTATGGCAAAATTTTGTAGGTCTGTTTTGATATTTGGAAAGAGCGGGAAAAAATGAAATAAGTGACCTACTTTTTACGAGTGCGCATCTAATTTGACAGATGGTTTATTATCAAGTTTTGAAATATTCAGCTCCATTTCGAGGCATTTTTATTGAACTTATAATTCAAAATTCAATTTTAATACAAAAAAAAAATAACACTCTTCAAAGTTCAACATCATTAGAGTCAAATTAGGTGAACTATCGATAGATTTGTTGTGACAGAATCACTTGTCTATGGTATCATACATTTTTGAGGGCTCATTTTATTCTCCACTATTAATTCACGAGCTGCGGTTAAGTAGGCTGTGCAAAAAAATCTGATATTCTGACAGGTCATAATCACTAGTGTGATATTATTTTGGTAATGTTGGGATAATTATTTCTGGTGCTTGTATTGGGTTGTTACATTTCAAAGTGTTCATAATTGGGCCTACAATAACTTTACCAATAATATCGCAACTATAGTGATTATGAACTGTCCGAATTTTCATTTTTTCTTCACAGCCTACTTTACCGCAGCTTATGAATAAATAGTAAAGTATAAAATTAGTCCTCGAAAGTTTTTAAAATCATCGACAAATTATTCTGTCAAACAAACAAATTTATCGATAGTTCACATAATTTCACTCTAATGATGTTGAACTTTGGAGACTGTTATTTTTCTGTATAAAAATTGGGTTTTGATTTATGAGTTCAATAAAAATGCCTCGAAATGGAGCTGAATATTTCAAAACATGATAATAAACCATCTTTCAAATTGGATGCGCACTCGTAAAAAGTAGGTCACTTCATTCATTTTTTTCCGCTCTTTCCAAATATCAAAACCGATCAATAAAATTTTGCCATACAGAGTGTTGTTTTTGAGATAAAAGAAGTTTTTTGTTTTTCCTCAAGACGGACCTGGATTTTAATCCGGATTTTCATTTGGTTTTGATGGGTAATATAAGTATGGATGGATTATACAAAGTGGTTCAGAAGTTATAACCAGATGAAGATTTTGCCAATATCAAGATCAGTTATCAAAGACGGTAGACATATCGATGGGGGGTGATTTGAAAAAACCCATGGTTGATGGTTC